AACATTCATAGTCCGATTGCCTTTCCTTCGCCGGAAATAAAATATTAGTTCTCTGAATCATGCACTGAGTAAACCTCCTTCCAAGTCATTCACTGCTTCAACGCATAGACAAACATCCTACCATTACACAAACACGGTGTGATAGCAATGCACGAATCGTCATAACAATCAATGCCAAACCTCAAAACCTTAGGTAATACTGATACCGAGCTGAAATGACAGAACAGTATTCCGCAAGGCGACGACAATAGCCCAATCAAATACATAGGGAGAAACATCCCGCACCACACCTGTAGTACCATTACAATTTCTCGATTTCCAATTTATAACAAGAGCTTCACATTACACAAGATTGAATATGAAGGAAATGAAGGCATAAGCCTCAAAGGAATCAAATCGCACGATGAGGAATCAAGAAGGAAAGTGCTCCTAACAGTCATGTAGCCTCTCGAAGATAAGTACAGACGTCTTTGTACCGATCCGCAAGACTCTACTAAACTTGCTCATGACACGTGAGACCTAAGTGAACCTAGTGCTCTGACACCATGTTGTCACGACCCAAAATCCATTAAAGGTCGTGATGGCGCCGGACACCGCTGTTAAGCAAGCCAAAAATAAATACATAACTTGGTTCTCATTTTAATATTTTTTGAAAGTCACATTTCCTTCAATTAAATAGTAAAAGATGAAATTTACAAAATAAATAATAATATTTTTAAAATTTTCAATACAGGATAACCCATAACCACCCTAAAATCCGGTGTCACAAGTGCATGAGCCTCAACTAGAAATGTAAAATAAAATACAACATCTATTCGGAATAAAAATTCGGACATGAGAAATATAAATACTCTGAAGGAGACTCTGCTGGCTGTGGACTCGCAACATGGAATGCAGCTTAACTAAGTCTCCGCAATAATCGCGCCTCTGCGCCCACAAGGCCTCTAGACATATATACACCTGCACAAAAATATGCAGCAAGTGTAGTATGAGTACGTAAATCAACGCATACCCATTAAGTATCCCGCCTAACCTCGAAGAAGTAGTGACGAAGGGTCGACTTCGACACTTACTATGGGCTATAAATAAAACGTCGATGATATAATTAAGCATGGATTACGTAGAATGGCTGTAAGCTCAATATCATGAAATAAGTAAACAATTCTTTTGTTCATAAGAAATTTCCAAATTTATTTTCGTCATTTAACATTTTTGGACCTCGGGCCAATGAAAACAATATCAATTATTATCAATTCCAAAGACATATCATGCGCAAATCATGCCGAGGTCGTATGACCCACTCCAACATAAATATTTAAACTGTGCACTACCGAGGGTCGAACGGCGCGAACCATAGATGCATCTATTTAACCTGCCGAGGCATTCGGCCCGCTCTACAAAAGAGAAAATACATATTAAACAACCAATTCAAGATTTATTAAGGGGCAAATATTCTTAAATTTCAAGTTCTCATTTAACGGTCAAGTAAATGAAGTTTAACCTTTTTAAAGTTCCTTTACCAAGTTTCGATATGATTTAAGCAATTTAAATTAACAAGTAGGATGCAAGCATCACAATTATAACATGATTTGGGTCCTAGACTACCCAGACATAAATATATTAATAGCTATGTACGGACTCTCGTCACCTCGTGCGTACGTAGCCCCTACAAATAGAAGCACATATTGAGTTATTTCACCTATGGAGTTAATTCCCTCTTACAAGGTTAGAAAGAAGACTTACCTCGCTCCGAAGTTCCATAGCCGGCTCCCAAGCCTTTCCAACAACTCAAACCAATGCCTATCGCTCCAAAACTAGTCAATAAAGGTGCAAATCCATAAATATATACTCTAATACTCATAATAATTCAATTTATAACAATTTTCAACTCCGCTCGAAAAATCGATAAAGCAACCCTCGGGCTCACGTGCCCGAATTCCGAAAATTTTCGAAGATAACTATTACCCATGACCTCACGAACTCAAATATATAATTTATTTCCAATTTCATGCCCAAATTCGTGGTCAAAATCCAAAAATATCCATTTCTAGATTTTTCTTTAAAATTCCAAATTTCTATAAATTTTCATGCTTGAATCCATGTATAAATCTTGTATTTAACTCATAATATGCGAAAATCACTTACCTTGACATAGATGATGAAAATCCCTCCTTGAAACTCTCCAAAATCACCCCAACCAAGTGAAAAATTAGGGAAAAATGAGCCAAGTCTCGTTCTTAAATCAATCTGCCCAGCGATATTTTCGCACTTGCGGAACAGTAGCCGCACCTGCGGCGTCGCTTCTGCGACCACGTCTCCGCTTCTGCGGAACTCACCCCAAACACAAGGCCTCGCACCTGCGGAAAGACCCCCGCTTCTGCGACATCGCAGGTGCGAGCTTCCTTCCGCTCTTGCGCCTTCTTCCGCTTCTACGCCCCACGCTTCGCCTCTGCGCTTGCGCAGATGCGGCCAAAACTCCACACATGCGGTCCTTCCCGTGGCTGACTTGCTCCGCTTCTGCGACCCTTGGGCCGCTTCTGCGGCCCCGCACCTACGGCCAAAACCTCGCAGGTGCGGTTACACCAGGTGACAGTAGCTTCAATATTTCATAAGGCCAAATTCGATCCGTTAACCATCCGGAATCCACCCGAGGCCACCGGGACCTTAACCAATTATACCAACACGTCCCAAAAATACATTACGAACTTAGTCGAGGCCTCAAATCATGCCAAACAACATCGAAACTATGAATCACCCTCCAATTCAAACCTAATGAACTTTGAAGCTTCAAACGTCTACCTTCGATGCCGAAACCTATCAAATCACGTCCGATTGACCTCAAATTTTGCACATAAGTCATAATTGACATTACGGACCTATTCCAACTTGCGGAATCGGAATCCGACCCCAATATCAAAAAGTCCACTCCCGGTCAAACTCTCCAAAAACCTTCAAATTTTTAACTTTCGCCAAATGACCCCTAAATGACCTACAGACCTCCAAATCCACTTCCGGAAGCGCTCCCAATACCAGAATCACCGTACTGAGCTATTCTGAGACTCAGAATCCCAAACGGACATCGATAGCATTGAAATGCACTCCAACCCAAATTTATAAAATTCTTCCAAAACGCCAACCTTCCACAATGGGCGCCGTAACGCTCCCGGGTCATCCAAAACCCGATCCGGACATACGCCCAAGTCCAAAATCGTCATACGAACCTGTTGGAACCTTCCAATCCCGATTCCGAGGTCGTTTACTCAAAAATCAAACCTTAGTCAATTCTTCCAACTTAAAGCTTCCAAAATTAGTATTTTCTTTCCAAATCAACTCCGAATTTCCTGAAATTCAATTCTGACCACGCGCACAAGTCATAATACCTAAAGTGAAGCTACTCAAGGCCTCAAACCACCGAACGATGTGCTGGAACTCAAAACGACCGGTCGGGTCGTTACATATTACATAATATTTGTATATTGTATAATTACTATGATATATATGTATTACACATTGTGTATTATGCATGTATATAAAGTATAATTGTTAAACCTAATAACTCCTCATGTTTCTTGAAGATGATTTTCTTTAATTAAAATGATGTTGATGGTGATGAATTGACTGTAGGAAAATATTCCTACGATAAGTATATCAAAGTGGGGAATGAAATTGAAAGAACAAAAGAATCCCATAATGTAAACTTAGTTTAATGGAGGGTGCAAACTATTTTTATGGAGGATGCCTCCCGGTAATGAGATAATATTATCATGGTAACCTAAAGCATTTATAGTAATAATCTTTAATTAACAAAAAGAAAATTTTAAAATTAGATTCCTTTTTTATAGGTACTTTGTCGTATTTTAGGGTATATGTTTTATACATTTATTATGTTTATGTTGTAGAATATGTTATTTATTTAATTGTTGTAAATTCTGGAATTTTTTATGAATTCATACGTAAACATGAAAATTTCCCAATAAAAATTAACTTGTTACTTTTCAAATGAGTTAAAAATTCGAATCATGCCAGACTAATTTCTGTTAAGACAAAAATTTAAACTAGGTAGATTTTGACTTTTTATAGATTAGCTTCAATATTTTGCATCAATGCAAGCTTAACTCAAGATAGTAGAATGATTTTTCTTGCATAAATATTCTTATCTTTTTAGTGTATTTGATCGGATTTTCTATTTCTTTTGTCTTTTTCTCTCAACAAGTAATGTTTTTCGTTGTTTTGTGCTATTTTTGCAATGGCTTGAAACCGAAAAATCGAACCGAAATTATTATGGTTCGGTTTTGGTTATTAAAATCACAAACCAAAAACCGAACCGAACCGACCGATACCCACTCCTACTAGTTAGAGCTGTCAAAATGGGCCAGCCCAGCCCAGCCCAAGCCTCGTGGGCTTTTAAATTTGGTAGACTGGGACGGTCCGACACGCCATATGAATGTGCCTTAAAATGGCCGACCCAACCCAGCCCTAAGAGGGCCACGGGCTAGGGCGGGCCGACCCTTCAATTTTTTTTAGAAAAAAAGAATTTCTTTAAATCCTTAAATATTTTTTCGTGACACAGTCGATTAATCATGTAAACAACTTCTATTTGCTTAGAGCGTACAAAAAGCTTGATATTTGACGAGAAATCTCGTAATTAAAATACAAATTCTCTATATCTCTAGCTCTTCTTTTTTAAAGTTATATGAATATATTCTTAATACTTTTCTTTTATTTTCCCTAGATTCAGGGATTGGTTCAATAAGTTTATATGCTGAGGTTTGTTAATTAAGGATTAGCATCATTTTCTGATTTCATCATTATAGTCCATAAAATTTTTAAAATTCCTGAAATTTGCTAGTGGTCAATTTTTTATTGTATTTAAAAATTGATCTTTTTCTATACTGAAGAGCAGTTTAAATATTAATAATACTATGCTGAGATAGCCCATGCCAACACGGGCCCAATATGGTAAAAATTGTAACTATTATTTTTTGTTCACTTTGTTCTGATATAAAATAATAGGTAGTAAGAATTGATGCACGTAAGCTAGTGTCAAATCAGAGAGATAACATCACATGCTAATTGCTAGATACTATTTTCATATAAATTGGAACAAAATATCCACTCATGGATATTGTAAGAATTGAGAAATAATACTCTTTACATTTATGGCGGCACCATACTATCACATGCTGAAGTGTCACATTCTGACATACGGTGATGCGTTTCTCTTGCTGTGTTTAATCTTCTTCTTAGCCTTTTTGTTAGCAGTTTTAACAAGAAATACCTGTACACAGTTATGAAGTAATGATCAATTGTCAGTGCTCATATCACAAACAAAGAAGAGAAAGAAAATCAATAGACATCTGCCAAACTGATGGGCGAACAGTGAAGAACAACAAAGACCAGAATTTTGCTTCCAAAAAATCTTCGAGTATAAATACAAGTACTGTATAAATCATTTCACATATATCACAATTGACAATTAATGCTTTATCTACAAGCTAGAGGTTCAGATTTAGCACAAACTGATATGTATTCATTCCTTTAAAAATACATTTTCCAATCAAGAAACTCAATCATGTGACGAAAAAAGTTCATAATACTTTGATCTCTCATGTGCTTCTGATATGACATGTCTGCTTTAAAATTAGTTTCATATAAGGTAAGATTCTCAAAATGGCCGTCATTTACTATTGTTAACCTAGCACTAAAAGAATAACAGTAAATACTTGCCTACTAATGAAAATGTCAAAGCTTTGCTTCTGAGAGTGTAAACATGATACATAGAGGTGCTTTTAACTACCACACTTTTGTTAAAAATAGCTTAAACATTCTAGAATGTCAATTATTGTATCATGATGTTAGTTGAAACTTCTCTGTCCTCCTAGTCAAAGAAAGCATGGCACATGAAGGATACATAGGAAAACCCAAGCAATTTATAATAGCCTGACTATTACATTTATTATGATGCATCATATATGTAGGCTGAGAAAATTATTCTTTTTAAGGAAGTATTTTTTTTTTAAAAAGATTGAAAGAGTAAGACATGTTTCAATACCTTTTTAAAAAATACACACAGGTAGCTCAATTAGATTATAATTATAATTTAAAGTGTAAAATATGATTTAACAAGAAATTCATTTGGTTGAAAAAGAAAAGTAGCTAAGTGTCTCATTTACGATGGAAAGCACTTACCAGACTATAGATTCAACAGGAAAATCCACTGCATCTTGTGTTTCAGTAACTAAATGTGCCTTTCTGCAGATTCACCAAATCCAGCTTCTTTCACAAAGAACTTTTAATTTTGTTGACTTCATTTCCTGCAACTTCGATAATTTCATTTTTACCATGGATCTCCTGTCAAATTTTGTGTTATATTGAAAATCAACTGGTGCAAACTGGTCAAAAGACACAAGGAGAGAGCAGCCAGAAATGTCACTTTCAGAGGTCTACATTCGAATCAGCATTCTTGACTATCCACAGGTGCTTCAAGATCTTCTGAAGGGAAAGTCTCTTTGAGAAGTTGTCCGCAAGAACTGGACAAGCAAATGTAATATCGTTATGCATTCTTCTTCACCAAATTGACGCATACATATTTTCTAATAAACTTACTTTCTTTTTTTCACCTCTAATAAGCTTACCTGACTAATGAGATTCTTAGCTTCAGAGACATCATGTGTTATCTATAAACAACAAACATTAGACGCTGCTTCCCCTAGTGATTGTGTCGGAAATTCATGAAAATTTAGCAAATGAGACACAATTATATAGATAAAAAAAAGATTATAGCTCATGAATTGTGCTCACTGAAGTCCTCTTAGATCTGCAAATCGTCTCGATCTCTAAGAGGTCATTTGAGGCAATTTGGATGGAAAGAAGCAATTTGACACTAATATTTTGCAGAATATAAATTACTCAACTTACAATAGACTTCAGTCCCAATGTTTGAATTGGAGGGTGATCGATGGATGACCTGCAAGTAGACAAACACCATAGCCATGTCCAGTTCAATTGCATCGGAAGATGAAGAACTTATTGCATAAAGTACTCTGGCAGCACCAGGAACTTCTTCCTGCATTCAATTGTTGTCATCAGCGCTAAAAAACCTGTTAGCATAGCTGCCTTTTGCTGCAATGCCAGTTTGTACGTAGTTTTGAGTTTCAGATTTGTGAAGCTCTTAACGTGCCTCTAGCAGGGGATGGTGGACCTAGTATGCAATTCCAGCTTCGCCTTGGAAGTGAAGAAAACTTATGGAGGTGATATCTTCTAGTTCAGACCCTCAACCTCAACATCATGAGTGTAAATTAGTGCCTGGATCAATGGCAGAATGGCAAGGAAGCCACCAGAATTCTCTGGAATACCTAAACTAGAGTCACCAATAATCTCTGCACGAGCACTGGTAGTCCTTGAAACAATGAAAGCGGTTGTTATCTCTTACTATAATTTCTCTACCAGTAATGCCCGATATGAACTTTATTGCACTATGGCAATCCACACAAACCCTCAGGTTTTTTGTTATCCTTATAGGGACTCCACGAGGGATAGCAATGAGACCAAATGCAAGTGCAATCTTCTCACTATGGTACCAAACTTCTGATTCCTTTTCTTCTTCCTCTAAGTCATACAGAGCAAAATTCGTGTCAGCAGTATAACCTGCTGCTTTCATATCTCTCTTTAACTTGGCCAGCATTGCTTGAATCTCTGGGTATCTCTCATGAATTGTATCCTTTGCTTGGAAAATATGGACACAATTCTTTACAGATATCCAACTGAATCCGGCCCCTTTCTTGATGCCCACATCCTTCATCTCCTTCCTGACGAGATTAGCCTCCTCCCACCTTCCAGCAGCTGCAAACATATTTGAAAGAATAACATGGTTTCCAGAGTCCTTTGGATCAAGTTGAAACAAATTGTCAGCTGCAACCTTCCCTAGTTCAGGTTTTCCATAAACTCTACAAGCCCCTAAAAGAGCCCCCCAGACTGAAACTGTTGGTGGAACAGGCATTTTCTTGATAAACTCGTATGCACGCTCCACCAAACCAGCCCTTGCAAGCATATCCACTACACATGCATAATGCTCTGGCCCTGGTTGAATCCCATACTTTTTTCTCATAGATTCAAAGATATCCATGCCTATTTTAACAGTTCCAGCCCTACTACAAGCTGTCAATACACAAACTAATGTCACATAATTAGGCACCACGTCATGGCTTTCACTTGTCATCTCCTCAAACAAATTCAATGCCATGTCCGCGTACCCTTGATGAGCATAACCACCCATTACTGCATTCCAAGTTATCAAATTCCTTTCAGGCATTTCATAAAACGCGCTCTCACAATCTTCTATGTTACCACATTTCCCATACATGTCAACAAGTGCACTGCCAACAAATACGTTACTCTTACAAGACTTTACTGCAAGACCATGAATAGACCTCCCCAGCTCAAGCACTGCCATTCCTGCACAAGCACTAAGCGCACTTGAAATCATAAATTCAGTTGGCTTAATATCTTCCTTCCTTGCCTTAAGGAACACCATAAAAGCCTTCTCCCATATATCGTTCTGTTCATACACCGCCAACATGGTGCACCATGATACACCATTTCGCTCATTTATCTCATCGAAAACCAGCTCCGAATACTTCACCTCGTGACATTTGCCATAAAAATCAATCAATCCATTCAGAACAGAGACATCCGATCGAAACCCAAGTCGAATCACATAACCATGCAACTGCCGCCCAAGCTTCAAATACAAACCATCCGAGCAAGCATTCAAAAACACACAAAAAGTAATCGAGTTTGGTGGCTCTTCGCCCACTCGCAAGAGCTCAACAAATTTTAAAGCAGCATCGTAAGACCTCCCGTCAAGCACGGAATTAGAAATACATGCATTCCACGTGGCGATGTTCCTCTGCGGCATTTCATCAAACACCTTCCGCGCGTATTCCCGTAGACCGGTTCTACAATACATGTCAAATGCGCTACACCCAACAAAAACATCCTCAATCAAGCTAGTTTTCAGTGCCAGCGCATGAAGCTGTTGACCAGTAACGGGGGAATGCAAAAACGCAGAAGCTTTAAAAAGGCAAGGGAAAGTGAAGTCATTGGGTTGAACACACTCACGGCGCATGTTAGAGAAATGTAACAGCGCGGAGGTGAAATGACCACTTTGGACGGAGCCGGCAATGAGAGCGGTCCAGGTGACAACAGAACGGTAACGAGTCGGGGTGAGTGAAAGGAGGAGTTGAGCTGAGTCGGGTGCGTCGAGTTTGGAGTAGAGGTTGATGAGATGGTTGGAGAGGAAAGGTGGAAAAGGGGGTTCAAGAGTTCTGGTTATATGGGCATGAACTGCTCGCCCAAGAAGAAGGGATTGAGTTGATACGGCTGATTCAATCAGCGATCCAAGAGCGTGGGCACTCAGGAAGGGCATGGAGTCGCTTCGTGGCCACGCCAATGTGCGTGTGCAAATGGGGATTATAGGTAATAATTTTTTTAGTTTTTAGTTTTTTTAAATATTAAATATTTAATAGTTAATTAATTTTTGGCCCACGGACCGGCCCGAGCTTATAAGCCTCAATTTTAAATGAGTTCAAAAATCTTAGCCCAACCCTACCCAAGTAGCGAGCTGGCTTGGGCTGGCCTCACGGGCCAACCCCATTTTGACGGATTTAGTTGTAGTTGCACAATCTATTTATCTATTTATATTATTATAAAAGTACGAATATTCCACGCTAAATGTTGAACGATAAAAATATCCTTCAAATATTGATCGATTTTTATGTCCTTAAATATTTAATTATTTATTCAAGCAATAATTCTATATTGGATAAAATTGTAATATCTAATAGTGGACTTTGAAATTAACTAATCCTCTGTTAATTTAAATTGTTAATAAATTATTAAATTCTAGATTAGTCCTATTCGAAATTGAGTATGGCAAGACTTCTATCGAAAACACATTACANTTGATATAATACCTCTAATTACATCTACTTTAGATGTGCTTTTTTAATCACCTTAAGTTATTAGTATCCGCAATCTGATGTTTTATTTGGTTGTTGAAGAGTAGTAGTTGAATCTTGAACCTGAAATATTATTTTTTTTTGGTAAATAAAATATTTTTATTAACCAACTGGAAGTATTACATAAAAAAAAAACCTGCATACTATAAAAATTTATTGAAATTGGTTTAGTTCAGCTTAAAAAGAATTGACTATGGTTCGAAGTCAGATATTTGGCTTCTTAATTTTAGCGAAAAGACATGCTTCTTTCCTTTTATATTTGGTTTTACTGCATGTACCGGAAAAACCTAAGAACATACCAGTAATTAACAATCCTTTGGAGAAGTTCGCGTAGTGCTTTGTACAGACTACTGAAGTAACGGGATCAAAATTTTCATTAAGAAATGTCAAAATTTAAAAGGTAAACACGCAGTATATATATATATATAATACTGCTACAAATTTTATGCTTTGCATGCTATATTCCTATTTTCTTTCTATTAAAGTTACTGTAACCATTTCATTAGATAAATTCATTAAATTTATTTTGGGGTGATCATGTCTAGGTCAAGGGAGTAATTCTAGATTTATTATGCTACTATTTGTATATTTGTTTTAACTGTCACCTATATTTATTACTATAAAATTACAAATCTCAAATGCGAAGTAATATTGAACAATGAAAATATTCTCAAAATGTTAACTAACTTTTATCCTTTCAGAAACTAAGTTAATGACTTAATTTTGTTAGAAGTTTGACTGCTTGAATAGGCGGCTATTTAAGTTAATTCTTCCTAAAAAAAAAAACAAAGTTTCCCGACAATAGAGTTTTCTTATGGAAAACTATGTACAACAGGATTCATGCTTGAAGATAGGGTCTTTGACTTATCATATTTACGAGTCCTTTTAGAACTATGCTGCTTAAAGACTCCAAGTTACAATCTCAGATAAAAACTAAAAGTTACAACTCTTTTACTGGAATCTTATTAAATATTATGGTTCATCAATTCTCTTCTTGGCATTCATGTTGAAGTCGATTACGTAATGTCTAGAATATTTTTAAATTTATATTTGAAAGTACTTTAATTAAGAAAATTACAGTTAATATTCAAGCCGAACAAATCAAACTTACTGGACTGAATTAATCGAAATCAAAAGAAGAAAAATCGAACCATACCGAATCTAATTATCTATGGTATTGGTATAGTATTTTAAGAAATCAAATACTGAGAATACCTAAAACGAAATATCTAAATACCATATTAATTACACCCCTACCTATAAGCCTAAATATGGATAGGTGATATCAAGGTAAATTAAAATAATGGTAAATTTCTTTCGTGGATATAAAATTATGAGATATACATGTAATGTACATACGTCTTCGAATGGCAACGCGTCTAGATAAATTAAATTGCTAGGACAAAAGTTATTGACATAATCGAAGACCAAAAGTTTCTCCTTTCTTCGTATAATAAAAAGACATAACAGAAAGCAAGTTTATATGGTTCAACCTGCTCAATCTTTTAAAATAACTTACGTTAACTATTAGACGGGCCTAAGGTTATACGTGCTACATAGAGACTAGTATTATTAAAAAAGTATGAATACAATGTCGTTTTACAAAAATAACCTTATAATATTAAGCATAATAACTCACAATAAAAGAACATAACTGGAATTCTAAATACTAGCCTTGTAATCCTATTAGTTTTAGGATATAATACTACATGTTAAGAATATTACATAATTACCTTTAGGAATACTATTAGTATAATTAATTTCGGGCATAGACATATCATACTATATGTTATCATGTAAAACTAATACCTTTAGGAACACGTTAGGTTTTCTTTTAGTATAATTACTTTCGGGATAGACACATATTTTTAGTCATGTAATCCTATTACTTTTAGGGTATACTTCTTAAAAAATTCTATTACTAATTTTTAGAAAAGGAGAACCTATATATTTTAGCACGAATACAATATTGATAGACCAAAATAGCCCTAAAATATTAAACAAAAGAACTCATAGGGAAAAGACATAACTATAATAACTTATTTTTGGACTACAATACCTTCTATATTAGTTTTTTTAATATATAAGATTTTAAAATTAATAAATTTTTGTCTATTAAATTCTTATTAAATGTGATGACCCGAAAGGTCATGTTTAAATTTAAACATTCATTTATGTGTTCTAAGATCTCGAAAAGTACTATTTATCATTAATCGACTTTCGTGCACAGTCCGTATAATTTTTCAGAAAGTTTTTATGTGAAAAAAGAATTAAAATGTGAAATAGAGTTTTAAAACTCAACTGAGTTGACTTTGGTCAATATTTTTAGCAAATAGACTCAGATAAGTATTTTGACAGTTCCAGTAGGTCCGTATAGTGATTTGGGACTTGGACGTATGCCCGGAATTGGATTCGGAAGTCCCTAGCTCAAATTATCGCCATTTAACGGAAACTAAAAATCTAAAGGCTAAAGATCTCCAAAGTTTGACCGCGGATTTGACTTTATCGATTTCGGACTCAGATTGAGATTCTGAGAGTTGGAATACCTTCGTTATGTTATTTATGAGTTGTGCGCCAAATTTGAAATCATTCCGGATTCATTTAATACGTTTCGGCACGAGTTTTGTAATGTGAAAAGTTTGAAACTCATAAGTCCGAATCGAGGAGTAAATTATAATTTTGACATGATTTGAGACCCCGAGTAAGTCTGTATTATGTTACAAAACTTGTTAGAATATTTGGTTGAGGTCCCGAGGGCCTCAGGTGGATTTCGGATGGTGAACAGAGTTTAATTTGGATATTCTAGAATGTTTCGACGTCGTTTCTTCAAGAATAAGTATTATAACATTAAGCTAATAAGCTCCAAATTTAGTTTTGATTGAAGCATTGGATCCGTATTGAAATTTTGGAGTCATAACAAAAAGAATCGTTGAATTCGGACATCGTATGAGAGAGTTATGCTCATTTCCGTATCCAAAAATATTTCCCGTCATCGTTAGCGTCCAGGGTAGCGTGGGGTGCTATACCTGGCGCTGGGACTTCTGAAGTTCTGGAAAACGGTGCCACAGGCAGCGCCCCACGCCACTTGTGGCACCACAGACATAAAACCCCCCATAAAATGGGGAGTTTTGTCATTTTTACTCATTTTTGAGTTTTGAGTCTCGGATTTAGGCGATTTTTGGGCAATTTTCAAGGGAAAACATTGTGGTAAGTGTTTCTTACCCTATATTGATTATATTTCGTGATTTCATACTCATTTACATCATGAATCTGTGAATTTATGGAAGAAAAATTAGATTTTTATAAAATCTTTCAAAAATGTAAAATGAAGATTTGAAGGTCAATCTGATGTCGCAATTCGATAATTTTTGTATGGTTGAACTCGTATCGAAACGGGTGTTCAGATTTCGTAAATTTTTCAGGATTCAATACCTTGGTCCCACTGTCGATTTTTAAAATAAATTTCGGGTTTTAATCCGGAAAACTAGTAAATTCATATGGAATTAATTCCTATGATTCGTGTTGAGTATATTGAATTGTTTGTGATTAGATTGAAGCGTTCGAACACGAATTCGCGAGGCAAAGATTTATTAAAATCTTGAAATTGGTTGCGAAGCGAGGTAAGTGTCGTGGTTAACCTTGACTTGAGGGAACAGAACCCTAGAATTATTTGTTATGTGAAATTCATGTGAACAACGTATAGTCGAGGTGACGAGTGTCTATACGTCGTCAAATTATTTGTTTACGTAATTATTTGGAATCATAAATTATTTTAAATCATGAATTAATTATTATATTAATTGTTTCTCTCATATTTCTTGCTCAATATTATGCCTTGAATCCATGCTATAATTGCTACATGCTTATTTGATTTATGTGACTTAATTTCTACTTGACATTTAGCATACTAATTATTTAATTGCATATTTTTCCCTTAATTTTCACAATTAATTGCTACTTACCATCACTTACTTCTAAATAAATCATAATTATTGTATGCTTGTTATCTTATAATTTCATATTAATTGATGCATTTATTGGAGTAATTTCTTTATAAGAATTGGTTAATTATATTATTTGAGGAGTGAATTGCATGCCACAACAGAAATGAAAGTGAATATATTGAAGGAGCGGGTTGTACGCCGCAACAGATTTGATTGAAATGAATATATTGGAGGAGCGGGTTGCACACCACAATAGAATTGATTGAAAAGATATATTGAGGATCGGGTTGCACGCCGCAACAGAATTAAATGAAAATAAATATATTGTGAGATCGGGTTGCACGCCGCAACAGAATTGAATATGAATATATTGTGAAATCGGGTTGCACGTCACAATTGAATATGAATGTATTTTGGGATCGGGTTGCACGTCGCAACAGAAACTGATTGAAATAATAATTGGTTACGACTGTCGAGTTGGCTTCAACTGTTGAAAT